ATATATGAAATATACCTGCAAATCATAGATGAGAAAATTTTAACAATAATCAAAACACGATAAAAAAGGAGAATGGTTCAGATACGTTGATGATGGCCAAAAAATTAACAAACATCTTCAAACCATTGAACATCAACATCACTTAACCAATAAACTGAAACACCAAAACATAGACAGGATCTACATTAACCAGATTTAATGCAGCCTAAATACAATACTCAACCAAAACTATTTTGAATCCGAAGGAAAAATTTATAAACAAACAGATGGACTAGCCATGGGATTCCCACTATTTAGCATTATATATGAAATATACCTGCAAATCATAGATGAGAAAATTTTAACAATAATCAAAACACATGATAAAAAAGGAGAATGGTTTGGATACGTTGATGATGGCCAAAAAATTAACAAACATCTTCAAACCATTGAACATCAACATCACTTACAAGCCGAATACACAAATAACACAAAAAATAAACACCTATAAAAAAGAAGAAGACAAAAACCTAAACGGAGTCTACAGCATAAAATGCACGGACTGCAATAAATTCTATATCAGCCAAACCAAGAAAAAACTGATCCAAAGGTACGACGAGCATAAAAAAGCATACATAAACCCAATAACACATAAATCAAACCTCGCCATACAAAATAAACATAACTTCCCCCCGCCAGAAAACACCACACTCATAAAACAAGTCAATAAAGGAAACCGTATGAACATCTGGCAAAACCTAAACATCCATAAATTCAAAAGTCATAATTCACTTATCAAGAAACAAATACAAATCAAAACACAACAAGACCTAACATTCAATATACTCCACAAAACAATGCACATTCCTAGAAACAATGAACCTAGAGAAACACCTAGAAAACAGGCAAATTTAATGAGACATTCCGAGGATGAAAGGGGAGGACAAATATCTGCCCAAACCCTAGTAAATGAACCATCAACAACAATAACAAATTCACTAAGGCGATCTAACCATATAGAACAAACAAGAAGATGAAACGTTTAGTTTCAGTAGAGCCATGAAAATGATAGCATAGTCTGGTATCGAAAGCGCTTGCATATAATAATTAGAAGTTATTAAAGCTACAAATCCTTTTTGTGAACAAATGTTAATATTGAAACATTGAAAATAAGGGAAAACAAGTTCATAGTGATACAAGCCTGTCACACTTAAAATCTTTAGTCGCCTCCACTTCAGTCCTGCCACAATTCTCACAGCAAATTTTTGCAAAGTGAGAACACGTGACCAAGACATATACACCAGTCAAGAATACTATATTGCAGATGGCAGTGGATGATTGCATAATAAAGGATCAATAAGATGTTTTCGTGACAATGATTTGATAAGAACTTTAACACATAACAATTTTTACAAAGCATGTTGACATGTGGTTCCTAACACAGTTTATTGTCAATTGTTAGTCCAAGCAACTTGGTCGTTTCACTAGCATATACTTTCATGTCATTGTCCTTAAAAATTTGTAACATTTTCCATTGTTCCCTCGAAGTAAATTACATCAAAGATGTACTAGATAAATTTACTATCAGATTTTTTTCGGACTACTCTATTACTTTATTACATACCATTTCTGGTGTTATCACAAGTTTAGTAGTATCTCCACCTGTTATGAGTAGGTTTGTGTTATCAGCATATAATATTACTTGGACCTTAGAGATGTCAAGATGGAAGTTAATGAGATCTTAAGCATAAATTAAAAACAACATAAATCCAAGAATTGGGCCTTGGGGAACTCCCTGTTCAACTATGAGATATTGTTCTTTGTGTTGATGATTACCCTCTACGCTCGATCACTCAAGTATGATTTCATTAAATACAAGGCTACACCCCTTATACCATATTGCTCAAGCTTAATAATTGAGTGGTCATGATTAACACTATCCAATGCCCAAGAAAACTAGATAAGTAACCCACAAATATGGACTTTTCCATCCAGGGCTGTTATTACATTTTCTTGAAAATTATATATAGAGCAGCTTCAGTACTTGTCATTTGTGAATCCATGCTGAGTTAAAAATAACAGCTTTTTCACAGTTAAAAATGAAAGCAGTGGATTTTTTATATTCAACTCATAAAGCTTACTAAAGCTTTACACGAGACTTATTCCTCTGTAGTTTTCAATACAGTGGGGGTCACCTTCTTTATATACTGGGTTTATAAGCCTTAACTTGAGTTTGTCTGGGAAAATCCCTTGCTCAACTGACAAATTTATTTGATATGTCAGGGAAAAACTCAGCTCATAACTGCATTTCTTAATAAGATTATAAGATACCCCATCATGCCCACATGAATACGTGCTTTTCAGGTTATGAATCAGTTCTATTACCTTAAATTCAGAAAAGGGGAAAAAATAGTGAACTTGAACAAGTAGGTATCATTATTTGTGTAAATTCAATATCAAGCCCGACTTTTACTGGAGTGGGTGTAAAATGTCGATTGAATTTCTCGACCATTTCTCTAGTCGATAATTCTGTTGTTCTTTTACAGAAATTTCTGTTAATTGGTTTGTAACATCATTGTAACAATGAATTCATAAGATTATATTAACATATTCCAATCAAAAACCAATTGAGTTCATCTTCAGTACCGAAATTACAAAACCATGCAAATCCCCTAAGGCACTCACCTCTTTGGCAATCTGGTCAAGAGCTTGATCTTCTGCTGCTGATTTAGTAGCAAGACGTCTTCGCCCTCCAACACCATCCATGGTGAGAGAACACACCGAACAAAACCAACACCAGACCTGACAACAAACAACATACCTGACATACCCAACACTCAAATTTCAATGCAAATGACAATAACAACAATGAAGCATTCATTTCTTATGGATAGCAATATGGTAAAGGTTTCTACAACATGAAAAACAAAATTGGAAAATGATTATGAACAAAAGAACAAAAATAGCAAAAACAAATTTTAAATTCATATAGTTGAAAACTGCCACATTTCACAACACTGACTAGTACTAACAATTAGGTGATTTTATTACTGACCGACTCCCAGCAGGGTTATTGTGCTAAAAAGTCGGAAAAGTAGCTTTAGCTCTAATTAGTTACAAGAGCTGTAATCGGTTACAATGGTATGTGTTAGTTTTTAAGTAAGTAACCAATTTTCCTAAAAGAAACATTCCTCTGGATAATTTCAATTGGAAATGTCAAAATTCATATCTCTATTAATTACTCTCCAAGTTTTCCATGCACAGCTTTACTTTGTTAAGTGAATAGAATCACGTTGTTTCAAGCCATAATTTTAGACTAATTTTGTACTCTATTTCCGAATGTTTGTTCTTAAACATTAAGCTAGCAGAACCCAACCATATAAAAAACATTAAGTTCAATCAGGCTAGTATTCCCTCCTATCCCGAGTTTCCATATATTATTTATTTTAAAAAATTAGTAGATTCTTTGCTGCACTAATTTTATGATGCCTCTTTATCCTATTGAATAATTGTTTGCTCTTCATATGAATTTAAAATTCGGGTGACTACCTCATGCACACATTGTAAAAGAAGAAATAATTTTTTGAAAACATTCTTCAAGTATGAGAGAAATAGTAATATATTGAGAATTTTCTGTATTTTTTGAATATTGAATATTTTCAAAAAGTAGTTTTGTCAGATCAACCACAAAGCTAGTAAAATCCACAAATTTAAAATGAAATAATAACTAGGGAATTGGAAATAGGTGTTTCAAAATAAATCTTTTTCGTTTTCAACATGTGTTCCTGAGGTAATCACCCAAATAATAAATTAAATCGAAATTGAAAAAAAATGGTTCGAAAGGGAAATAATAGAGGCTAAAATGAGCCTAAAATTATTGCAAGTTCAAAATTTCCGAAGAGTGAGTAAGTTTGATTTTGTTCTGTTTGTTTTATAGCAAAGCTAGCAGAACCCAGATACATCTCTCAATAAAAAGTGAAAAATTCAGTAATAGAGTACAAAGTTGACCTAAAATTATGGCCCGAAAATAAATGTGAAATTCCAAAGTGGTGCTGCTAGTCTAGCAGGGGTTATTGCAAAGTGATACTGAGATTTTACCCAATAATCCGAGTCTACACCCATACTCCCAAAATAGTAACACTTGATTGAGACCCCGATACTTTCTGATACAATTAATGAAATAATTTTAATTTCTATAAAGACTGATAATTTATGTTTTATTAATGGTAAACTTGAAATTATTCCTAATAAATCAGAGAGAAAGTATTGCATTGTTTATAGATTAATAAACATTCTTATTTTACACAATTAGGCAACTGTTTGAAAATGTTTGCTTTTAGATATTGTAATAATTTTATATTTTAAAGAATTTAAAGGCCAAGTACAAAGGAAATAAACATTACTGACTTGTCCACCAGTGTCGAATAAGTCATTTGACATAAATGTGAATTGCTGTTAATACAAAGGAATGCCTTATCATTAGTGATTGAAGTATTTGCATAGTCAAATTATCATTAAAGATATAAATCACTCGCAATGCTCAGGTAAAGTACTCAAAAAATTGTTCGCTGATCCAGTAACATATCTACAAGAGGTAGATATGTTTCTAACGCAGACTAAATCCAAAACAAACACTTTACTTATTCACAAAAAATTGCAATACTTCTCGATATGTGTTTCACCAAACAAGTTGGTATTTTCAAGATATGAAGAAAACTACTTTCTGCATCTCTTGAAAAACCTGTGTCAAGAAGAGTATTTAATTTCTGGTGATTGGAAAAAGTGTTTGTTTTAGATTTGATCTGAGTTAGTTTTCTTGTGTTAACATTTACATATAAGGCACAGTTACTATTTAAATTCATCTGTCAAAAAAATGAGAACACTTCAATAAAATAGAAAGAAGAAGTTTCAACCCTAGTATTTGCAAAATAACTTTAAAATTCAACTTCCAATTCAAATCAAAATTCATGAGTCTCAAAGAAAGCTCTGGCTGTTACCCAGTTACTAGGCAATGTGATGCCACTAGAATATGTGCATCCTCTACTGATCATCTTTCCAGAATTCTTATTCGAAGCTGTTTTTTTTCCTGGCATTGATCACTAACCAAGGCATGTTTTATTTGTTCTTCTTTTCTATCATCACAGTAAGTATTCAAAAGAACAATATTTTTAAACTAAATGTGTTAAGTATATTCAAATGATCAAAGCCAAAAATAAATTGTTTCTTGCCTGTTTGAGTTATGTGATTGTGTCAAATTAATTCAAATGCTCTTGATAATCACTTTGGTATCATCTTAAATCATTATGACAACTACATTAGCCAACCACTAATAATTATTCAAATTGAATATTCAACTACAGAATCACTTAAATATGGGCTTAGGTGTGTTCAATGCACCTAAAGTTTAATCAGTATATGAAAATTTTAAATAAGTAGCAATCATTAGCAATGCTTCTTCAAATGAACAAGCTGATTCATTGAAATACAACAAAATTTCAGAATTGTGTCTATGAAACAAAAATAGAATACTATTTTAAAAAAGTTGTTCTAGATAATCTGTAATATAATCAAAACCCAGCATGCAGTATTAATGTAAATTACATATCCAAAATGATACAAACTAAGGTCATAGTTTAAGTTTATTTACATAAAACATAAAAAAATTGTAAACAAATTAGTAATTGATTTTATTAGCAGGTGTTCATACTCTTTTAAGTGGGTGTGATATTTCTTGGCATTCAGCCAACTAAAACCACCTAATACTCACTTAAAACTGACAATTATCATCTGAAAGCATCTTGTGTATTACTCATTATTGAAACTTTTCAACAGCCAGAAATTTTCCAGTGATTCAACAAAATCAATTTTCTACGACCTTTGCAGTTGAGGAAGGGTGTAACAGTTTTTATTTCAACTTTACTACACCGACACTTGGACATAAAAGGAAACTTGACACTAGTTGATCAAAAAGTATATAAAAGATTATTCAACTCAATAATCTACTTTGAAATCTATACTGTTTTATGAGATAATAATATCGACATGTGTAACTTCATGACGACATTTCTTTTTTGGTTCGCAAAACAGAACTGCCAATATTGCGAAAAAATCCCTAGAATAGTGACGTATTGTCAAAAAAAATCGACTTGGCCAACTTAATAAACCAAAAGATACCATGTCAACTCAATTATCTGTAGTTTTGTTATTAGTGTTTTCATTGTGGATATGGTTTTCTTTTCATTTTTTTTAAACCTTGTTTTATGTATTATATAAACATACTTTTAATTATTTTAGGAAAATATTTACAGCACAGGGATAACCAACTATAACAAGTTGTTCATTTTTTAATACATACTTTGAAAATGTCTACCAAGGTATGTTTTCCTTGTCAGTTATGAAGATGAAATTTAAAAGATTTTTTTAGGTCGAGAAGTTCGTTAAAACATACCAAACCTTATCCCGAATACCTGCCGTAATAGGAGGAACAATTAGATCTAATGGCGTTGTTAGCAGTATCTGGTCTCAAAGGAATTTAGAAAAGGGAAAAACATCTAAATTCATCAGGGAAATTTTCACTAATGATTTACAAAAAACTGCGGAAATAATACCTTATGATATTAGTTCAGAGCAAGTTTGACAAAACTCATTATTAATCCTGTAATTACTTACATTTCTTCTTTCAGAATCCTGTCAAAGACTTCATTCAGTGAGAAATTTCGAGCTGTTCTTCGGGAAAATGACAACAAACAATTTCTTGAAATTTGGCAGAATAATAATGTTGTTAGAACTGTCGATCTGAGTGCTTTAGATGTTCATGGATCTGTTTATTCAGATGGTAGGTAACTCATTTCACAAGAGATACATTTAAAATTAGCAAAAGGAAAATTTCAAAGTCTACATGAAAAAACCTAAAAGCTCTTTATTTCAAAGATGACTAGCAAAACATCAAGTGTGCTACATTTTTGGAAAGGTAATTTTACGCTCTATTGAAATATGCAGGAATATATAGGGTCCCATTAAAAAAAATAGTTTTCCATCAATAACTATTGATATTTCATTTGAAAAAATGAGTTTTTTGTACCATTGAATTCTACGTAAATGTGGAAATGGAAGTGTTTTCCAAAGCCCCAGGCTGAACGCTCGAATTTCACTTGCTATCGTCCAACCCGTGTTAGGAATCACACGTTAAAAGGTAAGACCTCGTTAGTCCTTAGCTCGCACCATTGAATTCTACGTAAAAAAGTGCTTTGGAAATGTTTTCCAAAGCACTTTTTGTGGAAATGGAAGTGTTTTCCAAAGCCCCAGGCTGAACGCTCGATTTTCACTTGCTATCGTCCAACCCGTGTTAGGAATCACACGTTAAAAGGTAAGACCTTGTTAGTCCTTAGCTCGCACACGTTTCGACTTCTGAGGGTTGTCGTTCGTAGGGGTGCGATAGCTGGTTAACGGAGAAACAGAAAAAAAAACAGTGGGATCTCGACACTAGAATGGACATTGCAATTGATTATTACCTCGAATAATTGGGATCGCGATAGTTGCCCATCATCTGACGAGTTTTTTTCAGACGATAATGTACTGTAAGCCATTTTAAACTTTTTGCGGTGTTAGTGGTTTATGTGATCATTTCTTTTTGTGATTATTTGCAGAGTTTCACAAAAAATATGGTCAATTTTGCATAAATTAGATGCAAACTTTTGCTAAAACGACTTTTTTGTTTTTTTTTTTTTGAAATGCTGCAAATAATCGCAAAAACCCTTTGATGAATCTAAATGTAGAAATTGGAATTTTGGTCTGAAAATTTGAATTCATGCCTCATTTTAGATTATAAACATTCATCATTTTGAAAAACTTTGTGTAAAAAAGTAATGGTACCTACTTTTCTCATGAAACATTTTCACATTTTATTACTTTAGTAACACCTTGTACATCCAATCTCCGATTTTTTACGTCAATCTTATTTCAAAAAGATGCATTTTTTTTTTAAAATGACTTTTTGTCATAAAATTAATAAGAAAGATTTTTCTCCTCTTAGCAATTCCAACCGTGGATACAATGTATGTTTTTTTTCATATAATCAATATTATTTAATTATTATTTGTGAATAATTTTTTTAAATACTAGCAATGAACTTGAAATTAATTTTTCCTCATCTGTTTAGTATAATTTCCGTACGCCACTGCAAGGGACAGATTAAGGTGAAAAAGTTACTGTCATTTCCGAAAATGTAGTGCCTATTATTTTGGAATTATAGTATAGGTCAAAGAACTGCTGTCTCTGATGAAGGTACAATGCAGTTGAGCATCAATGGAATTACTTGAGTACCAGACGGTACTTTTGTCATGGTTAGATATGTCCTACACTGAAAAGTAATACCCTGAAACTGATCACTCAATTGATTTTAGCGAGGTCTCACTACTGGACAAACAAAAAGAATGTGCACGAATGTCCTCTTTGAGGAGACTTACGTGAATATCTCAGATATAATCCAGTGTTCGTCGTGGTATTAGCCAGGAAAGGGTTTTTCCAGAAGGCATTTGCCAGATTGGGAAGGGTGCATGTTTCAATTCAAAATATTCAGTTTCTCTAGTATAACAGATATTTGAAATATTCATACGAATATTACAAGAAGTAATATTACAGTTTTTTCGAAAGTTTTTTTCAGAAGTTTTGTTTCAGTTGAATTTTCATCGTTTGAATGGTCTCCTGATGAAAATAAAATTTTGTATGTGGCTGAGAAAAAACAAGCCAAATCCGAATCATTTTACAAACGCAAGAGTCCATCAGGAGTAAAAGACTCTGGTAATGGAGATGAAGAAAAGTCTAAAGTAAGTTAAATAATTATATATCATTCCGTGGATGATGTGAATTTTTTCCATTTTAGGGTCAAGAACATATATTCCAGCAGGACTGGGGAGAACAACTCGTTGGTAAAAAAGTATCTGTAATAGCAGAATATAATATTGAAAATGATACAGTTGAAATTTTAAAAGGTGTCCCCGATGATATCTGTGTAGCTCAGCCAAAATACTCGCCTGATGGTTCATATATCATAGGGGTAGCTTATAATATCGAACCCAGAAAATTAGGACTTATTTACTGTACAAATCGAACTAGTACCATTTTTAAACTAGACTTTCATGGAAATTTTGGTATGTTATAAAGAATACATGAGTTTTAGGTTCTATTCAATGAACCTGATACTGTAAATCAATGAATTGATTCTTTCTTTTATTTAGACTAGTTATGCATATCCTTTCTGAATTTTTCAGTGTCACTTCAACTTAAAGGTTTATCTGTCAAGTCACCAATCTTCACAGCTGATGGAGATTCTATTTTATGGCTACAAAGGAAATCTGGAGGACCACATGCTTCTGGAATGCAGCTGGTTAAAATAAATGTTCCACTTACAGAAGAGGTACGTTTGAGATCATCTATATTAATATACAGTGCATTTCCGTTGCACGATATTGAGTCTGTAAAATATTGTGGAAAACGTTAAGTTCATTTTCCAAACAAACCCAACAAAACCTCATGTCAAAAATTTCAAATTGAAATAATAGTCAAGTGATGTCTTTTTCGAACGTTCTTTTGATTCTGTATCCAACCCTGAAACATTTTTGAGATTACAACAATAAACAGTCAAAAAAAATCAAATACTTTTTTAGATTTGTATTCAATTTCGAACTCGAAAATAAAACTAAACAAAAATTTTTCTTTATCAAATGTTCGTACTGAGCACCATTATTACCTTGCAGAAAAAAGTATAAATGAGCTTCTGTTTCCTCCTTTACATTTTGAAAAATATCAGGTGTTTTTACCCTATAGCACCCGGTAACAAAAATCTCATAAAAACGAAAGTCAATATCATTCAGAAAATTTTCACAACACCCGCTCTGCAGATAGCTTTAATATGTCTATACCCAAATCAAGTTTGATGAAAGTCGTTCATATACAGCGTTCATGTTCAAATTGACGGAAACTTTCACAAGAAAATTTCCTATCCTATTAGATATAAAAGGAGGCCAGGTTTAGAATTAGGGATTGGTCTACTTCGTCTACTAAATACACCAACTTGCTTGGTGAAACGCTCGACGAGAAAATTGTTGCAGTTCTGCTGTTTGGGGATTAGCGCCTGTTTTGGATTTATTCTAAGCCAGAAGTTTCACTTCTGCTAAGAACCTGAACCTGAGTCATTCTAAATGACATAGCAAATATTATCAAGTTGGCGGAAACCAAATTTCATTCCTTTACCGACCTGTCATATCATTAGGTTTCACCAACTTGGTTGGTTGCAGTTCTGCTGTTTGGGATTAGCGCCTGTTTTGGATTTATTCTAAGCCACAAGTTCTACTTCTGCTTTTCAATGTAGAACATAAGTAATTCTAAATGATATAGCTAATGATATAGCAAATTTCATTCCTTTACCGACCTGTCATATTATTAGGTTGATTCAAAAGTTTTGTCCGTTTCAATGTCATGTGTTTTTGTAGCTCCATATCTAAATGAATATTGATTCTACTGTGTCGTGGTATACAGTGAGCACTATATGTAACGGATAAATTAATTTTTTACGTTATTAGCCATTTTCAAGAAAAACCCTGAAACACGTCGAATTATGTATTCGAAAAGACAGTCTGTGACGTAAAAAAATCCCCCCTCCACCCCTCTCAACGTGACAGCCCCCCCCCAATTTTTTTAAATGCAAAAGGGGGTCAAGTGATACCTCAATTTGAAGGGTACTCAATTTTCTGTACAGCCATATCTTTATTTTTAAATTTCGTGCATGCGTCAAAAAAAAACAATTGAATAAATTACACATTGAAGCGGTAGCAATCAATGTGCAACTAAAGGAAGTTTTCAGATCAAATGTTCAAACTGAGAGCCATTTGTTTCTTGACAATAATAAAGGCGTTGCTGAAAGTTATCAACAATGTCTTGAAGGGTTTCAAGAGTGATACGTCTATTTCTTCTCTAATTCTGATTTGCAAAGTTTCAATATTGTTTGGTCTATTGACGTATACTTTGGATTTCAGGTAACCCCACAAAAAGTAGTCAAGCGGTGTCATGTCGGAAGAACGGGCTGGCCACTCTATGGCACCTCGTCTACCAATCCATGTGTTGGGAAAAACTTCATTCAGATAAGCATGAACGTCAGCTGCAAAATGCATTATCTAGAAAAAGTCATTTCAGTGTTGGAACTAAAAAAATTAGTGAAAAACTCCAAGTAACGTTCACTGGTTAATGTTTCGTTGAAAAAATATAGTCCAATTAAGCGATAATTTATAATCCCTGCCCAAACATTTACTTTTCTGGGATATTGAGTGTGGGCCTTCATCATCCAATAGGAATTTTCTCGGCTCCAATATCCACAGTTCAGTCTGTTGACGGTTCCATTTAAAAAAAAAAGTTGACTCGTCAGAAAACAATATATTTCTCTTAAACGAAGGATCTCGCAGACACCTGGCTTCCATTATTTCGCAAAACTCAGTTCTGCGATCTGATCTTCGTTGAGTTCATGTACCAATTGTACTTTATAAGGGTGATACTTTTCACTTTTAAAAACAGGCAATATCAAACTTTGACTTATGTCGTAATCGGCGGCAAATTGTCGAGTAGGTTTATGTGGATTCTCCTCGATGTCTACCAAAATATCCAATTTCTTCCCATCGTCAATCAATACACTCCTGCCTGGTTTTGAAATATCTTTGACAGTCCCAAATTCACGAAATTTCGTTTCTATTCTACTAACGGTAGATTGAGAAATGTAATGATCAGGATATTTATTATTGAAAATTTCACTTACATTCTTCTGGGTTCTAGTTTTGTGCTAGAACTTTTAGCCTATTGTCTAAAAGTAATACTGAACAAGAAACACAAACAACAACTGCAAAACTGTTTCTCTTCAGCAAGTTCACAGAAAACATACAATTTATTACTCAACTGTCACGACTGATAAACGACGGTTGGTAAAAACAAACAAAGAAATTGAAGGTGCATGGCATATTGTACAGCGGACGGATTCAATGGAATACCTACGTGATACCTTTCAACACTTTGAATTTTTTGTTTCATTATGACGCATGCACGAAATTGAAAAATAAAGATATGGCTCTACAGAAAATGGAATACCCTTCAAAATGAGGTATCATTTGACCCCCTTTTGCATTTAAAAAAAATTGGGGAGGGGATGAAGGAGGGGGGATTTTTTTATGTCACAGAGTGTATTTTCGAATACATAATTCGACGTGTTTCAGGGTTTTTCTTGAAAATGGCTAATAACGTAGAAAAAGTTTCAAGGTCTCTTCTTCTTTGCTTTTGCGCAACCAAAACGATCTTTTGTGGATTGGATCCTCACGTGTGATGAAAAGTGAATCCTCTACGACTGCAGGAGACGTTTAGGACAGTCATTGGACACCCATGCACTTCCCAAAGGGGAAAATCCACCAAAAAAACTGGTCTGCGGGTGGTGTGATTCCCTATAACTTGTTGCAACTGCGCCAAATCACAGCAGAGTCCTATTGTGAGGAAATTGACGAAATGTACCGAAAATTGCGTCAGGAGCAGCCGGCACTTGTCAACAGAAGAAGTCCGATCCTACTCCACGACAACGCCCGTCCGCACGTTTCACAAATCACCGTCTGAAAATTAAATGAATTGAGTGTCGAAGTTCTGCCTCACCCACCATACCTCTCAGAACTCCCGCCAAATGACTACCATCTTTTCAAGCACTTCAAAAACTTTCACCAGCAGAACCTTCGCCAATCAGGACCAGGCAAAAACGGCCTTCGTCGACTTCATCGAATCCTGAGCACACAATTTTTATGCTGACGGAATCAATCGACTTGTGTTATGTTGGCAAAAGTGCACTGATTAAATGGAGCTTATTTCGATTAAATTGAATAATTATTCACTGAGATATCACAGTTTAAAGTAGACTCATAAAAATAGACAAAACTTTTGAAACAACCGAATATTTTGATGTATCAATAAAATAAAAGCTAAAACTGGAACCTCTAGCGTAGAATAAATCCAAAACAAGCACTTTTCTCAATCACCAGAAATGTAATACTCTTCTCGCGGTTCACCAACCAAGTTGGCCTCTTCAGGAGATGAAGAATGATATATAGAAATGAAAAATGTTTACAGTTTTTTTTTATTCCATCCAACAGTAGTTTACACTGATTTTTACAATAAGAAGCTCTTCAAAACAAAAGTTTACCTATATTTTGTGGTGTTTATGGCATAGACTAAAAAGGTGATTAGCCTTGTGTTTTGGGTAGGATATGTTAATAACTCTCTGAACCACCTACGGATCATTATGACTATTCACAGTGGTGGCTTTAGCTAAGTAATCCATATTCAACAAGTTACATTTTTGCCTAATTTTTCTGCTCCAAATCCTGCAGAAAGTTCATATCTACTGATATCATAAAAAAACTCATTTATATATTCTCACACCTTTAGTACATATATTCAATCTCATATTCCAAATAAACATTATGCCATTGCATTATCTTTTGTATCACCCATTTACAAATCTGGGGATAAAACTGATACATGTAATTACAGACCCATTATCAATAATTTTGGAAAATAATGGAGAAATGTTTGAAAGATCGATTAATACTCTTTCTAAACTCAAACAATATCATCTCCCAACAGCAGTATGGATTTAGAAATGATAAACCTACCACTGATGCAATGTGCTCGGTCCCAACAGAAGTAACTGAAAAATTAGATGCTAATAAGAAATATATCGCAGTGTTTTTTATTTAGCAAAAGCATTTGATACTGTGAATCATGAAAAGCTCCTCCATATACTGGAATGTTTTGGAGTATGAGGAACAGTATGGAATGTCTTTCACAGTTATCTCTTAGATAGAACACAAATAGTTAAACTGAATAAAAGCATAAGTGATTCAAGAACTATAAAATTAGGAGTACCTCAGGGCACTGTACTTGGAACTATTCTCTTCTTAACATACATTAACGCATTATCATCCTCATCAACAAATGCAAAAGTAATATCTTATGCAGATGATACCGTCCATGCTGGACTGAGATAAAATATCTTCTGCAAAGAAATATGGAAATTACCAAAAGCTAGTTGGATGAGTACCAATTAACCTGAATGTCAAGAAAATACACTATATACATTCCATTCTCTATAACAGAAGTTAATAGACCAACCTTCAAAAATTACAGAGGTGAAAGAAATAAAGTACTTATATAATAGATAAAAACTTAAAATGGGTAACCATATTGGCTATCTAACAAATAAAGTGAGAAAGCTTATATATACATTTTATCAATTATGAGAGATTCTTTCTAAAAACCTCCATTTATCGATTTACAAATCACTGGCTGAATCACATATTCGTTATGGTATTCTAGTATGTGGTGGAATATACAAAAATGCACTACAAAAACTAAATGTCCTTCAAAATTATATTTTAAAAATAATATATAGGAAAACAAAACGTTATCAGGCAACACTACTTTATATAGTGAATCATCACTCAATAATTCCCAACTGTAACAAAAATATAGTTCACAGATTTTTAATAAATACTTCAGCTAAAGCATTCAACCTTCTTCCTTCCAGTATAAAAGAGATAAAAACTTTCAAGAAATTTAGTGTTCTATCAAAAATATTTTCCATAATTATCACATTTTTCTAAAAATTCTGAATAAATAAATTATTGCAACATTTACATTCTTCATTGACATATGCATATGAAGTTATCACTATGTATTAATATTAATCATAAGCCATTTTATTATTTGAGATAAGCCTAATTTGAAATCTGCAAATATAATAGACTTGCACAATACAAATATTTACTTAGGTGTCAATACTCTATTATTGCTTCATTAGGGTAATCAGATAATTTTTGTTTTCATCGTAGTGTGCGCTGGTCAGGCCCTATCCCCCGAAGAACTTGTATGCTTTTTTTTAACGACGTGAACTTACTAATATTCGAATATTTTTCAGTCAGCTGCGAAAGTAATTGTTGATATGGTTGACACTGAGCTGAAAATAAATGATGAAAAAATATTCTATGGGTTGTATAATACTGGTTTTCTCAAGAGACCTTGGGCAAGTGGAAGAAGGTTATTGGTCAACACTAATCAAAAGTACACCATCAATTCCTATGTGATAAATATTGGTAAGTTTTTGAGACCAAAAACTTCAAGTTCAATTTCAAATTTCAATCAAAAAGTTAAGACATCCTTAATTTATATTTAAATGTTCATGTAAGTTTTACTGCATGTATCCTTATTTTATTGGCTATCAATGTGAGATGAATGTTATAATTTATTTTTGCTTTCTATTGATGAATAAGCGAAATCATAAATCAGCTTTTTTCAGATAATTCTAGTATAACCCATCTAGATTTTGATGATGGAAGTCAGATAATTCTTGATGTTTTCGATGATATAGTATTAGCTGTCCGAAGACACTTCATGAAACCTGACAAACTGATAATAGGAAAATTACCAGAAGTCGGCTCTGAATCTAACATTTCTTGGATTGATCTTACTCATAGCGAAACAGTTCCTGGTTTGGAACATTGTTGTTATAAATATTTGGATTTGAAAGCTGATGGAGATGACTTTGGTATGAATTTTGGTAATTGACTGATTGTATTTTTCATCTTCAACCAATTTTAGTTGCCTTCAACGCAATTTATCTTGGTCCAAAAAGTGGTAATGATAAATCGGTACCATTGATAGTTTGGCCTCATGGTGGACCACATAGTGCATTTGCTAATAATTTGTTTTTGGAATCTGCTTTATTTTTATCATTTGGTAAGAAATATTCGTTATAACTGCAAATTAACAATTGAAAATAGAATAAATAAACGTATTCAATAATACTTTACTGTCAGATTTTCACATAAAACCATTTGCAAAACTTCAACATGTGTTTCAGTATTGTATTACTAATATATTGTATATTAGGGTAACCTATTTCTGAATAAAGACTTCTACTATATAATAGCTTCCTAAGGAAACACCTGTTGCTGTTTTGTGAACTAAATAATGAAAGAAAATCTGGGCAACTCACATCAATCATATGGTCATTTTCATTTTTTTAGGATATGCTGTTCTTTTGATCAATTACAGAGGTTCATTAGGAGCTGGGCAAAAAAGTGTGGATTTCCTTCCAGGTAAAATCGGCACAGCTGATGTTCAAGACTGTATCATCGCCACTGATGTAGCTTTATCCAAATTTTCATGGCTAAATCCCAATGCCTTAGCACTAGCAGGTGGTTCTCATGGAGGTTTTTTAGTAGCGCATCTTAGTGGACAGTATCCAGAGAAATTCAAAGTTGTCGTAGCAAGAAATCCAGTGATTGATGTTGCATCTATGAGCATAATTTCTGATATTCCAGACTGGTGAGTAATTATGATATTCAGGTATTTATGTAATTTAATATATGTATAATTCAAAATGAAGTTATCAAATGGGAGAGTGAATTGTTATCATTTACCCTGCACAACAGCTGATCCCACTATTGCTATCTCGGAAACGGTAAGACCTACAAGATCAATTATATTGGAAAAAAGTTTCCTATTTTAATTTGTTTAATTTGTTGTTCAGTGATACCTTTAATAAGTGTATAAATTGTGAAATTGGTTTACACTCTTCGAAAACCATGGCGGCATTTCCGTTTGATGAAAGATATCCCAATTGTAATGTAGGTCACCGGTATGTGCTTGTTTTGGTGACAAAGTTTTTCAAAACCGGTTCAGTGAACAATAAAAAAAGAAATAAAACCCCAAAGTACTCTAGCTCCTCACGATCAGTAGCAGAACAGACGGGATTGTCACAGGAGATTAAGAAAGGCACTGAAAATACATAAATGTCATATATAGGATGCAGATTATTAACGAGCTTCAAGAGGATGATTATAATAAAAGAATAGAATTTTGTGAAACCATGATTCATTGAGTCAATGCCATCCCTAATATTTTGTTAAATATCTGCTTCAGTGATAATCCTCTTTTTTTTGACTAGCAATGTTATTGCCATCCAGAAAAATGGCTTTTGAAGGGACAAAACTTTCACATTTTTCTAGAAGAACATACACAACACCCACGACAAGTCAATGTTTGAGCCGATTTTCTTGTAAATGACATTATTTGTCCTTTATTTATTGAAAAAGACGTGACTGGCAATCTGTACCTATGCTCGAAGAGATTATTGATCCACTTATAACTCACAAGCTAGAAACTCAAATTGATGCAGACGGTAATTTAATGTTAAAGGAGGATCTGTTTCATTTCCAGTAGGATGGTATTCCACCTCATTATTTTCGTCCTGTGCGACAGTCGTTAAACGAACGATTCCCATAGCAGGAGGGGAATAATTGGGTGGCCTCCGAGATCTTCAGATTTAACTCATTCAGATTTTTTTTGAGGACACTCAAATCCGTTGTTTATAAGATACAACCTGCTGATATTGATAAACTTGAACGATGAATTACAGCAGCGTGCCAGTCAAGTCTTGAAGCTTTAAGAAGTGTTCGAGAGTAGTTAAGAAACAGGCTTTAGTACTGTTTAGAGCAGAATGGGAAATATTTCGAACAGTTTATCAGATAGTACGTTAAGAGATGGTTGAAATTTGTTTATTGCAATTTGACAAGTTTTTTTTGTAAACGTAAAATAACCAACATCTGTAGTCTAGATTCATTCCTGTTAGTCAAGTATTGAAACGATGTCACCTACTCTTCTATCCATTAATAAGAAAGTCACTACAATAATATTTGTTTGAATAATAACCTGAAAACCATGCATCTTAGGGCAGGCAAGTTTTAATTGCTTCTGTAAGTTTAGAACTGTATTTTTCGGAACTGCTCATCAAAAAATAATGAAACAAGATACCGGTGGAAAGAGAATTGAACGTCCTTCAAAATGATGATGTGCAACTTGACCCCCCTTTCCTATTTGATATTAAAAGAGTAACATTGGGTCGAACCAATGAGGGTTAAAAATATTAATTTAATTAAATTAATTAAAGGTGGGAAGTTTTCAAATCAACACCCTGTATATATTGTATAATTTATGTAGACATAGTCATAATAATAATAATAATGTTTATTCATCAGTTTTTGATACATCAAGTATATATGGTAAGTCAATTTAAATGGGTGTGAAAGAATATAAAATAAAGTTTATGTGACATAGCCAAAATATATTCAAGTTCAGTTATATAAAACATATGACTAAAAGCTGTTATTCAAACAATCATTGTAACTGTAGTAACATCTCTTTATAAACAAGATTTTTACTTTATTTTGAAATCCTTCATTGCTTCTTGTTAGTTTCACCCCATATGGTATTCAGTTATAAAATGTGATGACATTATAATTGGGGGACTTTTTATAAAATGACATTATGTGTTTTAGGATTCTCTAGAGCAGAGGTGTCAAACTCACTTTTGCAGAGGGCCATATATTAAATTTAGAATGTGTAGGCGGGCCAAATTCCAATAAAAAATGTTCTGAATTACTATAACATTTTATTCATTTAATTATACGGTTTGTGATGCACTGTTTGGACCCTTTGGTGTAGTAATGAATACTACTGGAGTTTTCCCCAACACCAAACCGTTATTTTAACACCTTGACAGGAGGAAGATCTTCCTCTTGAAGATGATCACTTGGTGATTGAAACACGTGTCGAGGTGTTGAAATAATGGTTTGGTGTTGGGAAAAAGCTCCAGTAATATAAATTATACGGTTGTTAAAAGTCATATCAAAGTTATAAAAGAAGGTAATTATTTTGAGCTCGAGGATCCAGATACCTGACATCTCTTGTTTTTTACAAGCTCATTGATGTCGGATATCATATTAGTTGTAATTATTTTAAGAATTGATTGGAGATGTTCATTCGTAAGTCTTGTGCAATGTTTGTTCTTATTTATTTTCATGATGGAAAACATCTGCTCGCATAAATAGGTACTACCAAACATGCACAGAATGCGTGCTGCATGCTTTTTCAATTCCGGGTATTTATCCAAACTCTTGAAATATTGTGTATAAAATTTAAGAGAGTTCACCTCTTAAAATTATTCTTTCAAAATACTGTTCGATTTGAAGATCTATCAACTCCATTTGCAAATGAACTGGTGCTCATAAAGCTTCAAAATTGAATGAATTGTTAGAAATTGGGAATTCCATTTCATTCATTTTGTGGAAGTCTTCAACACGATTGTTGAATTCCGTGATCAGATTTTGCATAGGACACGCGTTTCTTTCTGTGACAAATTACGATCGCGGTATTACTACGACCCGCGGGCTGTATCTTTGACGACTACTTTAGAGGTTACTGAAGCCTATGATGAGATTATGTTCATATACCTTGGAACCATAAAGTGGTTAAGTCTACCTGATTTGTAAAGATGGCTCGACAGCTGTCTTGAAATTTGACAGAAAAAATTAGACGTAGTATTCGCTTCTCAGCTATAAACTCTTGAAAAGTTTCTTGCTCTATCCCAGACCATAATATTCAACATTCGAACCTGTCAATATATCAAAGTTGGACAAAATTTTTATGAAAAAGAATTATTTTTAGTATTTCTTCATAAGTGACATCACTCGCCACGGAGAGGGCGCTTTCAACTTTTTTTTTATATAGAAAGTAGGATCTTGTGACCATTTGCTGAAGAGTATTTCAATTCTCTACACAACTACCTTCACTGTTTTGAATTTGGATAACCGGTTGCAGAGTCATCGGTTTATGAATTGTTGATGGAAAAAATGATAATTCATAATTTTGCAACCAAAAGAGAATTGATTAATAGTTATCACAGGTTACACAAAGTTTGTAATATGTAAGAGAAATAAATTTTTCACGGAAATCAATCATATTTAGAATAAAATTGAACCAAAGTATTTGACTAAAAAGCACATTTCTGTTTATGATCTGATTGAGGATTTTTTTGGGATCGACTATGTAGATAAGAATTCATACTATGTTGCCCTAGTAACAGAGGGTAATAATAATAATAATAATAAAAATAATTATTATTATTATTATTATTGTTCATCCTCAAAGACGTTGACAAACGTATAGGGTAGGTCAGTATTAAGCACATAAAAATCACATCAAACGATAAAATTGTAGATCAGTAGATAAAAATAATACAATAAAAATGTATACAACAAAAGTCAGAATTACAAAAATTAAAACAATTGTAGTTATAAAAATTGAATATGTCATGCCGCATGAACCCATTCAGTCGAGATGGTCCGAGAGAAATTCGCCAATACTATAGTAAGCCTTAGAAAGAAGCAATGTTTTAACTGCTTTTTTAAATGCTAAATGGTATTGTGTCAGCTTGACAGCTGTCACTGTTGATACTTGATTTAATTTTGATTTGATTTTGATTCAGTTTCAAATTCTCAAAAAGGGTTGGCGCCAGATCTTTAGGCGACACGGCCGGCTGTGATTTTCATGAGGCAGAAAGGGTCTTCAATGTAAGATTTTCTGAGAATCTGATATGTCGAAAATATCTCATGGAATTGGTTGAACATTTTCAAATAACTGGAAGTGTAGTTAGAGCTTGAGGAGCTGAATGAAAATCTATATTGAACGGAAAACAGATAGAAATCGTCAGTAGTGAATAACTACCTGCAGTCCACAACAGTTGCTTGTAAGAATGATATCTCAACAACCACCGTCAAGAAAGGCATTAGTTTCATCCCTATAAACTGAAGATATTTCATGAATTAAATGAAGATGGCCCGGACAGAAGAATGTTGTTTTGTAATTTAATGTCTGATCGTTTGATTACTTGGTGGATACTCTGTTATGTGGATTGGTAAGCAGGGTTCGTTAAAATGCCCTACTCGTTCACCGGATTTGACCTCTTTCGATTTTTTTCTTTGGAGCTATATTAAATCATAAGTTTATGTTACTAAACTTGAGATAATACTGGAACTTAAAGACAGAATTATCGAAACTTGTGCTAGCATTACCCCAGAAACATTCCAAAATGTTGAAAATGAGTTCGAAAATAGATTGTTTTACTGTCAGGGGTTCAAGGAGAACATTTTGAACATTTGCTCAAATGATATTTTTATGTACAAAATAAACAAAAACTAGGTTCAAAAAAATTATATCGTTTTATGCCCTTGAAGTTAACACTTATCTATTGTAAAATATGTTATTAAATCATTTATATTTCCAGTGAACATTCATTTCAAAAAATACAACATAGGGTGGCAGAGTTACGAAATTCCTAGTCCCAAATTAAAACATCAATAACTTCGCAACAGGTTATTGAAATTGAAAAAAGTGAAAGTCATTATATAGAGAATTGAAATACCTTTCATACCAAATGTCGCAATACACACCTTTTCGTTTAAAAAAAGTGGATAGCCCCCCTCGTCGTGATGTCACACTTTTGGCTTTTTTTTATTAAACATGATTCCTTTTAGTATAAATTTTGTCAGAGTCTGATATCTTGTGTCGTTCGAAAGTTCGAACGACACAAGATATCAGATTCGATGTTCTCATTATCAACTCATTGATCAGTAACCGTTTAAGAAATAAGTTGCTCTACATCGTCTCCAGATATTGTCATATTGTATCAGCAAACATGATTATATGGACATCCAATATGTACTGTGGAAGGTCATTGACATACAGCAAAAACAACAGAGATTATATAGAGAATTGAAATATCTTTCATTCCAAATGTCGCAATACACCCCTTTTCGTTTAAAAAAAGTGGATAGCCCCTTCCCGCTGACAAATGACGTCACATTATTAGCTTTTTTTATTAAACATGATTCCTTTTAATATAAATTTTGTCAGACTCTGATATCTTGTGTCATTCGAAAGTTAAGAGGAAGGATTATTTACGTCCGCACTGTATATAGCAAGTAGACTAGACTTTTCTAAATTATGTCGTTTCATTTGTTTGATTGCATAATATATTTTTTTGAGATTTGAACACACTTTCGATATTGTGTCCCACTTTGGATTCAATGGGTGCCTAAAACTTTTACTCCACTGTAGTAACGATATGGAAAAAACTTCACAATAACACATGATTATATGGACATCCAATATGTACTGTGGAAGGTCATTGACATACAGCAAAAACAACAAACAAGAACTGAACTCTGTGATACACCAAGTTTCACGTTCTGACTATCGGAATTTATACCATTACATCTTACCATCATGGTTCTGTTTGTCACATAGGATTCTAAACAATTCATTAAATTATCTGAAAATCCTCATGATACCAGTTTTTCAACTATGAATTCATTACATACTGTAGTCTTTGATAAGAAAAAAAAAATAATCAAAATACATATTTCCTGTCGTCATTTATTTAATTTATTTTCAGGTGTTATATTGAAGCCGGTAAAGAATATTCACAGAAAGGTGAAATCGATAATAATATTTTGAGTACAATGAGAAAAGTATCTCCAATCGTCCATGCACATAAAGTTAAAGCACCAACTCTTCTTCAAATTGGATCCAAAGATTTAAGAGTGCCACCACATCAAGGAACTGACTATTATCTACGACTTAAGGCTAATGGGGTTACAACAAAGTAGGTGTAATAGTTATAAAAAATTTCTTTTGAACTGATATTGAACATAAGTCGCTTTTGTGGAGGAAATCAGAGTTTTGGTTGATATTTTTTGAGAATTCTTACATTCCACATTCTGAAAAAATTTTAAATTTCAATGGAGAAGTCACATTTCTAGTTCACGACGATAAGTTATTACATAAATTCAAAATATATTTCCCGAAGAAATGTTTTGTTCATCGGTCATATTAAATAATTTTGCCTATTAAAAAAAAATCTGTGAATTTTTCAAAGACCAAAAGAAGTCTTTACCTTCAGAATTAAAAAGCCAACTATATTCCACAGTTCTCTGCGACTTTTCATAGGATTTCAAAATGTGTTCTGACAATTTTGATTCCTATAGTCTATTTTGTAAAGCCATCATTCTCGTGCACATTCAATATTCTTGATATCTCAGCAGTATCATTTTTACCACAAAAAAAGTATGGTATAAATTCAATTTTTCTTTTTTCTCCTGTGTTATTTATTGGGCTTGTATGTAGTTCTTACATCATATGTATCCAGATAGTCCTGGAATATAACGTGTGACATTATTGTGAAAGGTATTGGTGTTTGTTGGATTGGTGTTGCTGTTTGTAGAGTCATATGAATTTTCCATAAAAACTATTTATCGTTCTGTTAATTCTAACGACAAGTTTTGCCACATATCAACGCATCACATTTAATTTCATAAGTAACTGACTTCAATTATATTGAGAAAACTTATAGATGTCAAGATAATGAATGCAGTTCAGACAGTGTTAGTAGCAACGTTTGAAAGATGATTTTCTGGTGTTGGGGCATTTATTTCCAAACTTTCTCAATGTTTCGTTAGAAACAGAAAATTAGTAAAGTCATTCAAGTACTTAAAGCCAATAATGTCTGTGAACTTGTAAAATATCGCCCTATCGAGAGGTGAAAAAATTTTTGACTTGTCAGTTTTCGATAAATGACTATATCATGAGTAATAACTTACTAATGATATATCAATCCGGTATAAATGGAAGCTATTGATTGATGAAAGTGAATATATATCCACTGACTGTCTTCTTGAATTTCAAATGTGCTTTAGAATCCTTTGATATCAATATACTCTCACATAAATTATGTTATTATGGAATCAGTAGTATGGTGTTAAAATGGTTTGAGAATTATCTCATACCAGGGTCAATGGTAATCGTAGTAAAAAATATAAATACTGGTATCCCCAGGGCAGAGTCCCCTTTTGTTTATTATACAATTTGAAGAGTTATGTATAAAAAAAAATCAACATCGAAGCTTACCAAAATATTTACATAATACCATGTTTTCTTGTTTTTTATCTCTGGATATATTGTGAGTTTTTGCGATGCCTAAAGACCATGCTAGGAATCGCACATTAAAAGATAAGACTTCATTATGAAAAATGAGAAATGAAACTTTCCATTTTTTTATTTGTAACTAATGTTACTGCAGTCGTCCTATTGGGAAATTTTTAATTTAATACAATAACTGAAAATAATCCAAACATATTATATATCTAAACACCACTATAGGTAATAACAGAGGTACTTAACTTAATTAAGTACCTGTATTTTGTTTACCTGACAATGTGGATTTGCTAATTTGAAAACCCGTGAGTAAACTAGATCGATTTGATAATTTAACAGGTTGCACCCGCAATTTTAATGCTCATGAATTTCCAAGGATTCCAAATAATTGAGTTTGCAACCCTTCCTTGAATAGTGTAAAATTTCTATATCGTTTAGATTCGGGAACTTGTGGTTGCATCTCAAGGAATGGCTTGAAAACGTTGAATCATTTTTACCTAGTCTGAAGGACCTTTTATCTTCAGCATACCGTTTTGAGAAATTTCGACCACATTGTCCCACATAAACACTATTACACTTCGGAAACTTAAGCTTATAAACTCCAGATTTCTCCATCTTGTCCACATTATCTTTGACATTGAAAATGAAATCAGATAACCTGGCATATAGTGTGAATTCCATGTCCACATTGTTTTTTCTAGAAAATCCCACAATTGTCCCTGTTCTTTCACCAAAATAATGTTACAGTTACAATTTTTTTTATTTCTGATTGTTTGGTCTGGGGTTATATTAATCTGTAAGTAAATTTGAGGCTTTGTTTTCCGACTAACTTCTGAATTGTGTCTGCGTTGAAACCATTATTATTGCGATGAAAATAGGACGAAACTGCAGTAACAAATAAAAGTGGTAAAAAAACGTAGAAAGTTTTATTTCCTATTTTTCAAATTGATTTCCTTCCACTTACTAACGGCTACATCCATCAATTTATTAAGACTTTATCAGCTCTCACAAGTTTCAAATTGCGAGGGTTGTCATTCGTAAGGGTTAATGGAAAACAGATTTTCATCAGACAGAATTATTCTTCATCTTGAGTAACACTAGGTCTATGTATTTTTGGTGAACCATAAAACTGAACAGGTTTAAACAGTTGAATGTGTTGTGTTTTTGTTAGGATACTTGCTCGTTTACTCAAAGTACTATAAATCTTCTGTTTGACTGATCTCGTCAGATCATCCTAAGTTTTTTATATTTTTTTTATAGTATGCATTTGATATGTTGCATTTAAAATCAACGGGGATAAAATAATTTTCTAAACGACATTACCACTGTGACATTATTTTTTTCTGTATTTTAATCAGTTTCTTGCACTCATTTTATACATACATATTTAAATTACATCCATCATGATGAAGAATAAAATATTTCAACACTTGGATCATTCATCACTGGATATATTCAAGAAACATTTTATTGCGAGGTTTTCACTAAATGGTTTTACAGAAATGCAAAACGTGTGTATAGCGAAACACGTGTTGCGTTTTTGTAAAAATGTTTAGTGAAAATCTCACAATAAAGTGTTGCTTGAATACACTATGGATTTTCATCAATTATTGGCCGATTCCATCACATATCATCACTGTATTCAGGCTGATTCACGGTGGATGGCACATTAGACGTTTCTGGTGAACCAGACAACGGATCACTTTACAAACAACTGCGAAACTACTGTCTATTGTCTCTGTATGCTCGAGGGGTGGGTTGGCGCCGTTGCCAGATTTATTATTTATCCTACATATGTGTGATTGATGACTTGTTTACTTTATGGTAATTCATGATCACTTAAATGAAATGAATAAAAACACTTTTGTCTAAATACCACTGGTAGATTTTATTTATACGACTGGTTTCGGGTTTGATCCCATTATTAAGTATAACACTGAAATCTGAATTTTGAAATATCGGTTTTATTAGAATTTTCAGGTATAGTGCAAGGAGAAGTATTTGAGAGACTAGTTGGGCGAACCAGGATGCCAACTTAAAATTCCACTCTGAAAATTATAAATTCAAGAAAGGAGACCTACATAAATCGAGTTGCTCATTTCGGGGTACATGTTTCTGGTTTTCAATTGATTTGTTAATTTCCATGGCCTCCAACATCATTTTTTCCCTTTACTACATATGTGTAGGATTTTGAGGTTACGATGATAACCTCAAAATTTCCAAGATGAAATCAAATTAATTAAGCAAATTGCAGTGAACAATCAGGTATCAATTTCCCTAATAGAAAAGATAATATCAGGTAAAACTCACAAAACACTCATGGGTAAATTATACCCAAACTGCCGAGAACACAATATAGTCAAGTACAGTAGCATCCATTACTCAGGTAAACTTTCAGAAAATATTCAAAATTATTTCTCTAAATACAAGATATCAACAGCTTTCACAAGTAATAATAATTTAGGTAGAACCCTGTTTAATGCAAAACCCCAACGGTATATATAGAATAGAGTGTGGCGAATGCTCTGCAGTATATACAGGCCAAACCAGAAGAAATTTTGACATAAGATTGCGTGAATACGTCTTTTTTAACAAAAAATATGCAATGTACGAACATCTTCAAGAATTAAACCACAAGATAAATGATGATAACCTCAAAATCCTACACATATGTAATAAAGGGAAAAAAATGATGTTGGAGTCCATGGAAATTAACAAATCAATTAAAAACCAGAAACATATACCCCGAAATGAGCAACTCGATTTAGGTAGGTCTCCTCTCTTGAATTTATAATTTTCAGAGTTGAATTTTAAGTTGCATCCTGGTTCGCCCAACTAGTCTCTCAAATACTTCTCCTTGCACTATACCTGAAAATTCTAATAAAACCGATGATATTTCAAAATTCAGATTACAGTTTTATACTTGATAATGGGGTCAAACCCGAAACCGGTCATGTAAATAAAATCTACCAATGGTATATAGACAAAAGTGTTTTTATTCATTTCATTTAAATTTATCCTACAATATCTAACACTAAATGGTTCATTCTTCTATGAAACTTATTGGGGTCGTGAACTACACTATTGCAATATCTTGAATTGAAAGGTTTTTTTTTTGGACTGGAAGGTTGAAATTCTCAAAAAACAGTCATTAAATAACATTAATTTTAGTTGTTATATGAAATTTTGTAGTGGTAATTGTATAAGGGACAAGGGTTACATGCGTAACATAAATAAAATTCAAACGGACATTTTAAAATAATCAAAGCACGATGAAAACTCTGGGTACTTTTCTGGTAATAAGATTTAGTGAAGAATAATTGATTTAAAGATCAATGCAACATTTAATATAGAAATATAGAAAGAAATAAATTTATTCATTCATGGACCAACTACATGGTATCGAACATGATAAGAATAAGATTATTTACACACAGATATCCACAAAAAACTTAATCATCGAAATATTCTTGTAATGTATAATAAGATTCAGCGAATAAGAAATTTTTCAGTGATTTTTTAATTCGAGGGTATCAGGCCTTCATTAGATTAGGGATTTATATGCCGTTTTAGATAATTATCGAGTCAATTATTCTTTGTTTCAGGATGAATTTATATGATGATAATCACCCTTTGGGAACTGTGCCTAATGAGTTAGATAATATAATCAATTCTCTACTATGGATTGAGCAGCATTTAGGTCGTGACTAAAAAGTATTGGTTTACAGTATTCATTTTTTCAATAAATATTTTCATGATTTTTTTTATATATATCAAACCTTTCCCATTTGCTATGCAGAAAAACTTAACATTTTCATTTTTAATAGAAACAGTTTTTTATTGCATCCAATTCTCAATTTTGAGTCAAATTTGCCAATACACCACCCTATCCTACACACAGATTGTAGAACTTTTTTTGGACCACCAATGAAAACAGTGATTGTTACCCATCCAAATCTCCGTTCTTTGAGTTGATGTTCTGAATTTCATTTATTTATATATGCATCACCTATTTTCACAAAATAATTCACAAATTCACAAAAATGTACTATAACTATTAGGTAGATGTAAGGAAAAAATAAACATAAAACTAAGCCAATCAATTACAATTTTTGAGTCTTTTTAAATGATTCCAAAGAAGAATCGAAAAGTTCTAAATTTAAATTGTAAGTGTTTACAAGTCTCAAAAGGCTACCTATAGACTCATTGTGGCCATAGTTGGTATGATAAAAGAGAACTTTGAAGATTTATGTTATTCTTGTTCTCTTTGGATTTTCACATTTGAAATTATAAGTTTAACAAGTTCCGGGAAATTGATGCTACCATTGATTATTTTGTGAATTAGTGTAAGAACTGATTCTAATCTTCTATGAGCCAGGGTATTCAAGTTAAGAATGTCCAATATAGTTTTTTTGTTATAATCACCAATATGATATTCCAGTTTGTATGCAGACTACCTTAAAAAGTTGTTTTGAACACTTTCAAGCAATCAGTATCCACATTATATGAAGGGCGCCCAATTGATCTGAAAATTGATCAATATATGATTTTTAAGGCAGAGAGAGAGAGATAATTTCCTGTACAGATCTGAGAGTGAAACCCTACATTTTTAGTGCAAGAAGTAACATTTGTAGTATGTTTTTGGGTCCAAGAGTGATTCCAGTTTCGATTGCTTGATTTCATATGGACTATTTATGAGATTTTTTGTTTCGGATATCACACCAGCGAACAAAGTTAAATAACTTGTCACATATAGTCAGTGGGCATACTTGAATACTGGCTATAAATCAAATCATCTAAAAGAACAATTGGTGCAGGCCAGTCTCAACTCCCTACACTGTAGGTTAATGGACTGGCAAGTATCAGAAGACAAATAATCCTCTGGCTAATACCGCGAAGGGCGTTGGATTATATCCGACAGGTGTCAGTGCAGGATTCTTCACTTAAGTTACCTATAGTGTAGGTAATTTGAGACTGTCCTGAACGAATTGTTCTTTTAGATGATTTGATTTATAGCCAGTCTTCAAGTATGTGAGAAATTTTCTTTCCTTATAGGAGGAATGGGGCAAATTTCGGATATGCAGTTAGTTACCTCGTTCACAGGCAGATAGGGCGATGACCAACCTGTTGTTGTCTGCTTGTGTTCGAGGAGTGATACTCTGAAGGAATTCGATTTTCAATTATCGGAAATCATCGACTTTATGTTTATTTATTTATTTATTCATAAACGGATTATTTCACCTTTTTTCTACATATGAAAATACAGATATATACTTTAACTAAATTTATACTAAAAATGAACAATTTAGCAGTACTACAGTAATAGACGGACACCTATACTACTAATCTTTTTAAGTTGGTTTTAAATGTATATAATGTTTGTCGATTAAAATCTAAACCTCTATTGCAATATTCATTTCCTAACCTTACAAAACGTGACAAAGCACTATGATAACCATAATTTGTGCGATGGTAGGGAACTTGGAATAATTCAGAGTTACAGGTAGGTCTGTTTGGAACTTTAAAATAAATCGAGTGAAGCAATGAAGGACAATCAATCTCCCCTGTTAGTATCTTATGCAGAGTTATCAAGCCAGTTCTTGTTCTACTACCTTCCAAGCTAGTAATATTCAGATTTTGCATAACTTGCATGTAATCGTAATCACCATATTGTAGATTCATTTTGAAAGCTATACACCTCAAAAATTTTTTATGTACTCTTTCTATTCGATCGATGTTTGATAATATGGTGACCACACTGATGAGGCATATTGAATGACCGAATAAACCAATGTTAGATATAACGTTCTAAAAGCCAATACTGATAGTTTTTTAGCATTTCTAGAAATGAAACCCAATAAATGAAAAGATTTGCTGACTGCGGAGTCAATATGATGTGCAAAATTTAATTGATGATCAAATATGACTCCTAAATCGCGAATTTCAAAAACCCATTTAAGACTGTTTTCAATTTGATAATCAAATTGAATAGGATTTTTGGAACTAGAAAATGAAATACAATAGCACTTATCAACATTCAGAGACATTCCATTATTTTGTGACCAATTGATCAATTAGTTCAGATCAGATTGAAGACATTTACAGTCAAGGTTGGTTTTGATTGTTGATGATATACATACACTACCTTGCACTGACGAGTGGCCAAACAACCCGAAACCGGTCTGCAAGTGTGTTCCAATGATTGAAAATCTATTGCGGTAGTTGTATCGCCAACAGCAGTTGAGACTGGCCTGAACGAATTGTTCTTTTAGATGATTTAAAGTTAGATAAATTGTACTGTAATAGTTCAGTATTAAATGAGTCATGAATAACTGAATATCTTTAGATCATCAGCAAACAGAAGAAATTCACTATAGACAATAACATCATTCAAGTCATTTACAAATAGGTTGCTAAAGGTATTGCTGAAGGCTCTCTAGGATCCTTCGCTGACCTTAGATGATGGTTTTCGTTGGCCCAAATACCAATTTAACCTTGCTTCTTCAAAATTCTTCTATTTTTTACACAGGGCAGGCAGGCTTTTCCATTGCCTGGCTCGAATTCAGCTTCCATACACCCAAATCAATATATACCTTGTCAAAAGATTTTCATCTCTTTGAAAAAGTCATGAAACGATATGAAATAGCCTCTGAATAACATATAATATAAAAAAGATTTTCCATTTTCTTTATAGTCATTTTCAAGTGTCAAGTTCGACGATATTTTCATATTCACATACCCGTTTCTTTTATCATGTGGTAACATTGCTATATTCTAAACCGTAACAAATACGAAAATTATTAAATAGGAAAAAAGGTAACTGTCATCGGGAATAATACAATGGTCGAAGAAAATTTACGGGGACTCTCGCCCTTCTCGAGTTATATGGGGAAAACCAAAAATGCTGTTTTTCGTTTTTTTTAGAATGGAATTGTCATTTCGGAGAATATCAAAAAATGGAAAAGGAAAATGTTATAGTATTTGAAATGTACTATGACGATGTATGTATGTAAATATTCGATAAAACATTTCGTGTCAACATAACCACCATCAACTTCTTGTTTAAATATGAACCTGTCTTTTTTATTACAGATATTGATAAAGCACTAATAATAATCATTTATTTTATCATTTGAATGCACAAAGGTTATATGAATGATTAAAAACGTCAATATTTCAGTTATATCATTACATTGAGCAAGAACATGTCAACAATATAAATTTACATATACATGTATATATAAAAAAATCAATTATATAATTCAAAAATGAAAAAATTATTATCATAAAAAGACAATCTTGCTGCTCCTCAACAATACAAGTTTTCGCGAAAATTTTCAGAACAGAATATTCTGAATCAATTGGAAGATGAACAATGGGCGAATATTTATCCACACTGAAAATAATATCAATAATGCCTAGAACAAATTTTTGAATATCATTAGTGGTTTGATAGATTCCTGTTTCCCTATTAAAGAAAATACCCATTAATAAAAGAGCTGAAAAGCGAATTTGGTTTAACGAGAAACTTCTGCATTTAAAGCAACAATTAACTCTTATATCGGATAAATTCACAATCCAAGGGTATATCACATTTGATATTTTTATAGCGTTTCATTTGAAATAACTACCATCATCACTGACAACAATTTTAAATTACGGTCATGTCGTTACTTCTTTTGTAAATTGTTTCGATTTCTTCAAAATATAATTCAGACAACCCAATAAATTCGACAGATAGGTACCTTAACACAATCTAGAGAAGTCGATCTTTAAACATCCTTTGATTAAGAATTTTTTGTATTGGCATATTATAGATATGGGGATGGCGTTTTGGTATGTTTTACAGGTACTAAGAGGCAATTAGATACTTTTCATAGGGATATTAACAAAATTCATGAAAACATTAAATTCACTATTGAAATAAAAGCAGACAACTCAATCAATTTTTTGGATAACAATTAGTAGAATGAACAACAAACATGATTTTCCAATTTATCACAAACCGTCCTATACGGATATTACTATACATTACGATTCTACCCATCCTTATCAGCACAAAGTAGCAGCTTATAATAGCATGATTCACAGATTAGTCAATGTTCCTCTTTCAATAGATGATTTCGATAAAGAACTTAATATCATCAAGCAAATTGCGGTTAACAATGGGTTTAAAGCCGAACTAATAAACAAAATACTTGCCAAGAAAGTCTACGCAAAAGCGATTCGAGACGTTTTTTATTGATAAGGTAGATAATCAAAATTATAGAGCTTTAACGTATTTTGGACAACCAACGGAAAGTGGCTTCATTTTCGAGGAATCAAGATATTAAAATTGCATATAGAACAAGTAATACGTTGGGAAAGTTAGTTAAAAATAATAAAGACAAAACATCTAAATTCGAGAAATCAGGAGTATCAAAGTGTGGAACGTGCCCTAAGGTATATATTGGTCAAACTGGCAGGACATTTAGGAATCGAATTCAGGAGCATCATACGAGCTATGTAAATAAGAAAACAAATTCAACATATTCAAATCATCTTCTAGAAGAAAATCATATCTTCAAACATATTACTAAGTCGCGCCTGGCCAGTAGTATTTCTAACATAATTCTTAATTCTTTTTAGCGCGGAGAAACTTCTTTCTGTTGACGCGGTTGTCACTGGCAAAACAACAGCAATACATAATAATTTAAAAATTTCTGGCAATTCTGCTCATTTACTAAAATGTACCTATTGCGAATGTTTATATTTACCTGGG